TATATATTGTATTCTGTATTGTAATTGAAATCAAAGTGTATATTTTTTATTTTAAATATTTGTACTGTAAAAATGATAAAAACAAAAGAAATAGTATTTTTCAATTCCCTCATACAAGTACCATAGTGCAATCTCTGTCATGAAAGTGCAATTTACGAATGTAGATTTTTTTTTTTGCGGGTACATAACTGCACTCAAAAACAAAGCAATGTAAAATATCAGAGCCTACAAGTCCACTCAGTCCTACTTCTTGTTCAGCCAATCGCTAAGACAAACAAGTTTGTTTACATTTACAGGACATAATGCTGCCCTCTTCTTATTTACAATGTCACCTGAAAATAACAGGCATTTGCATGGCACTTTTGTAGCTGGCATTGCAAGGTATTTACGTGCCAGATATGCTAAACGTTCGTATGCCTCTTCATGCTTCGGCCACCATTTCAGAGGACATGCTTCCGTGCTGATGACGCTTGCTAAAAAAACCAATGCATTAATTAAATTTGTGACTGAGCTCCTTGGGGGAGAATTGTATATCCTCTGCTCTATTTCACCCACATTCTGCCATATATTTCATATAATAACAGTCTCGGATGATGACCCAGCACATGTTGTTTAATTTAAAAACACGTTTACTGTAGATTTGACAAAACGCAAAGAAGGTACCAATGTGAGATCTCTTAGGATAGACACAGCACTCGACCCAAGATTTAAGAATCAGAAGTGCCGTTCAAAATCTGAGAGGGACAAGATGTGGAACATACTTTCAGAAGTCTTAAAAGAACAACACTCTGATGTGGAAACTACAGAACCCGAACCACCAAAAAAGAAAATTAACTTTCTGCTGGTGGCATCTGACTCAGATAATGAAAATGAACATGCGCCGGTCCGCTCTGCTTTGGATTGTTATCGAGTAGAACTGGTCATCAGCATGGACGCATGTCCTCTGGAATGGTGGTTGAAGCATGAAGGGACATATGAATCTTTAGCATATCTGGCACGTAAATATTTTGCGACGCCAGCTACAACAGTGCCATGAGAACGCCTGTTCTCACTTTCAGGTGACATTGTAAGCAAGAAGCAGGCAGTATTATCTTCTGCAAATGTAAACAAACTTGTTTGTCTGAGTGATTGGCTGAACAAGAAGTAGGACTGAGTGGACTTGCAGGCTCTAAAATTTTACAGTTTTATTTTTGAATGTGTTATTTTTTGTACATAATTCTATATTTGTAAGTTCAACTTTCAAGATAAACAGACTGCACTACAGTATTGTATTAGGTGACTTGAAAAATACTATTTCTTTTGGTTTTTTACAGTGCAAATACTTGTAATCAAAAATATAAAGTAATCACTGTACACTTTGTATTCTGTTGTAATTGAAATCAATATATTTGAAAATACAGAAAACATCCAAAAATATTTAAATAAACGGTATTTATTCTTTTATTGTTTAACAGTGCAATTAACCGCACGATTAATCGCTATTTTTTAAATAGCGATTAATTTTATTAACTGCTTGACAGCCCTAATCTAAACACAGGCTTGATCAGGCTCCTGCTACCAGCTACTGCACCTCCATGTGAATTAAACTGCTTCCCCTTCCACATGCTAGCAGGTGTTTAATCTTGCCCTACGCTTGCAATGCAGTCCATTTTCTCCTATCAGAGCCCTTTCCAATTCCAGCCAATTTTACACACAGATGTCACTACAGTCCCATTTGCCTGTCTAGATGTCACAATATTTTCTTTCCAATTATTTAAGAACACAGCATTTGAGACAACAGCTCAGACTGGTGGGTCATCAGCTCCAGTATCCTGACTGACAATACCAGGTACTCAGAAGAAGGAGAAACCCATCATGCACTTAGACAGTTTTACACTGCAGTGAAGCAGGAGATTTGATTTCCCTTAGCTATAAATGACAGGTTTCAGAGGAACAGCCGTGTTAGTCTGTATTCGCAAAAAGAAAAGGAGTACTTGTGGCACCTTAGAGACTAACCAATTTATTTGAGCATGAGCTTTCGTGAGCTACAGCTCACTTCATCAGATGCATACCGTGGAAACTGCAGCAGACTTTATATATACACAGAGAATATGAAACAATACCTCCTTCCACCCCACTGTCGGGTGGAAGGAGGTATTGTTTCATATTCTCTGTGTATATATAAAGTCTGCTGCAGTTTCCACGGTATGCATCTGATGAAGTGAGCTGTAGCTCACGAAAGCTCATGCTCAAATAAATTGGTTAGTCTCTAAGGTGCCACAAGTACTCCTTTTCTTTTAGCTATAAATGTTACTGCTCATAAGATTATCCACAGCCCTTTTTCAGTCCAGCCACAGTACCGGACATTCTACCTCTGGCAATACTGAATTCAGCTCTAGTTCCTGGGGTGTCTAGGTACAAAGAGAAGTTTCCCCTTTATAATCAGCCTGTTTCTCCTGGAATACAGGTATCACCTCCTGACAGTAGATGGAAAAACAACAATATAATGGATGGACATAACACAACCAAACAAGGAAGGAAGAATTACATCTAATGGCTGAAGTAAAGGAATAGGAGTTAGGACACTTGGGTTCTATTCCCTGCTCTGTCAATGACTCTCTCTGTGACCTTGGGCAAGTCAGTTAAACTCTATTGTCTCCATTTAGCTATCAATACAACAGGGGTAACAACCTTCACACCACCACCTCCCTGAGAGGTATGGAAATCAATGTTTGTAAAGTGCTTTGGCATCCTGGCATGATAGGTGCTAGAGAAGGGTAAAGGATTTTTAGAGAGGAACATTTACTGGAAATATTAGTAAGTTCAGTCTTTGTTAGAATCAACTGGGCAAGGAGAATTTGTGGGTTAATTCAGTCGCTGATCTAAGATATCTTCCCCTTCTCCTTGCTGCAGCCAATCACATCCAATCACTCACATTTAATCTCCCACTGATGGAATTGCATTCTAACAGCTTATACTGATTGGCTGCATCAGATGAGTAAATGTTTATACCCCAGCAGATCCTTACTCTGAAACCAGGGGAGAACTCAGACTAAAAAAGCTAGATGCATAGGGTGGAGAAGGGTGAAACAAATTTTGAATGACAATACGGAAGCTGAAAATTCCTCTCCCTTGTCTGGAGATGGAGGGCAGACAGCGGGAATTGATATCAAAGTCGCCTTCCATCCCTACAGGGAGACGTATTAGCTGATTACATAATAAAACTAACTGCATGGTGCTTCCAAGGACTACTGCAGAGACAAATACCTTCCCTTTAATGCCACCAGAGATTACAGCAATCAAAGAGGAGAGGAAACAAGGGGAGGGATTGGGGTGAGGTTCTGCGCAGAGGAAAATGCCGCAAACAACAGTCTCTTTCCTAAATGCATTGTAAATCCCATCTGATTTCAAAGTCTGCTGTAAAAACTATCTTGCATTAAAATGATTTTAATGCTGGATGAATGAGGTAGAGTGACTCAGATCCTGAGGCGGGTGGGAGGAACTGTCCAGAGGAATCCAGACCATGAAAGCACTTTGGGAACAGACCGAAGGGAACACGCCTGACAGATTTGCTAACCCACTTTTTATTCTTAAAGGGACATCAATGTGCTTTTCTAAATCTGACCGATTATAAAACCTTCCTGGAAGCTTGAAAACAGGTCATTTCTTTCTGGGCCCTTGTATTGACGAACACGGATTCCCTACAACCTTCGCACCAGGTTGCTGATGGAGCACTACCTAGCACAATTCTGTGGCTTCTTTTATGTTTTGGGGGGCAATAGCATCCTCAAGTAAGTTAACAGTTTTAGAAACAGGGTTTGCAGGTTAATTTGTGCTCCCCCTTCACACTGGTTGACTCCACAGCAACAAAGCTAAATGCACCATTAGTGAAAGTTGCTATTGTTTTTTCCATTGTGTTCTTTGACAATAGAATGGTGATGTTTTAGAACATAAAGAACATTCCTAACCAATTATTTCAAGGTAGGTCAAATATGAGGCAACTATTAAAGGAGCTGCATTAGGTATGGAACACACCAAAAGACAATGGCCATCACTTTGCAACCTGGTAATCCACTACTTTTTCCTTTGGCATTTATAATATTTAAAATAGTCCAATCCTTTAAAGCTGCATTTCCTTATAACTGAACACATGCCACACAGTTCTTAGGTGCAGACAGGTAAACATAAGTTCAATTGCATTATCAAGTCTTTTTAATAACTAATGCCTTTCATCCCTGAATTTGGACAGCAATGCTTTGTTTACCTTGGCAGTTGAGCAAAGGCATAACAAGACCATGGGACAGTTACATGTGGCTAGTTAGTATTAGCTACAAATGCTGATATTTGCCTAGGACAGAGGGACTCTGATTAGGGTCTCTAGGCACTCTGATAATATTAATAACCACTACCACAGCAACAATTGTGGTTGGCTAATTATAGTAGACACCACTCAGAACAGGCACTCAGATACTGTGAGGTGTACCACAGAAAGGCCTATCAAGAAAGCAAGCAACAGCCTGAACTGCGCTATGAAGAAAACAGGAAGAGTAGGGATGCATTCACTAGCGTGAAAGGTGCCACCAAAGCACATACACAGCATCATAGTGACAATTCTCCAGCAGCCAAAGAGGAGCATGTGAAAAAGTCCCACAGACGGCAAGGAAACCCTGGAGGGTAGCACCTTGCAGTCAACTCTCAGCCAAATTCCGCGGCCACCTCAAATTCCAAGGCCAACAAAGACCTTTTGAAAAGGTAAGAGGTGTAACCTGATTCATGACGCTCCATCGTGGTGAAGCCTTCCTTACAGCAAAAAAGCCCAACATCCCAGGTAACTTTCCCTTGGGGGATCAACATTACCTTCTTGCTAAGCAAAACTCCTGGCTTGTTACAGCTCATATTGGGACTTCCTCCCTTTGTTTCTCGTACAGGTTGGGTTTGTTCTGACTCATCCCATCAGTCAGGACTTGAGGGTTTAAGTGGAAAACAAAATGAAATCCAATTAAATATCTGTCCGCTCTTACCATTAGCATCCTGGACTCCAGTAAGCGCTCCCACGGCTGCTGCAGTTTCACCAGACAGGACGATTTGTCCTCCCCCTTGAAGGGTGGCTTCTGCAAGCGTGGCGACAGCATGGGCAGCTGCTTCACTGCAGGCGGAAGGGACAAGAAAAAGAATGATTAGAAAAAGAGAGCAACTCAGCTCTGATGTGTTTGGCTTTAACCAAGTGTCACAGAAGGAGATCACACATGCCAGGGTGGCGAGAGCTCTCACCAGGCCAAAGGAACTGAAATGATCGTGTAGTGAACAATCTTAGAGTGGAAAAGGGGTGAGGAATGGACTAGATGAAATTGTCTAGATGAAAGGACTATAAGGTGGGTCACAGGCGCCAACTTCCTCTTTACCTGGGGGGGGGTGCTCAACCCCCGCTCCGCTCAGGCCCGCCCCAACTCCACCCCTTCCTCCAAGCCCTCACCCCTCCTCCGCCCCAGTCCTGTCCCTGCTCTGCCCCCACAACACCTCTTCCCATCCCCTCCCCTGAGCATGCCCCATCCCTGCTCCTCCCCAACCCTCCCAGCTCCTCCTGCATGCCCTGAACAGCTGTTCTGCGGCCTGCAGGAGGCGCTGGGAGGGAGGGGGAGGAGTTGACTGGCATGGCTGCCAGCGGGCAGGAGCGGGAGAGCTTGGCTGACAGTGGGTGCTAAGCATCCATTACTTTTTTTCAGTGGGTATTCCAGGGGTGGAGTGTATGCTCATAAAATCTGTGGATGGCACAAAGCTGGGAGTGGTTGCTAGTAATTTGGAGGACAGGATTAGAATTCAAAATGACCTTGGACAAATTGGAGAATTGGTATGAAATCAACAAGATGAAATTCAATAAAGACAAGTGCAAAGTACTATACTTAGGAATAAAAATCAAATGCACAACTACAAAATGGGGAATAAGTGGCTAGGCAGTTGTATAGTTGAAAAGGATCTTGGGTTTATAGTAGATCACAAATTGAATATGAGCCAATGATGTGATGCAGTTCCAAAATTGTTATATGTAAGACATGGGAGGTAACTGTCTTGCTCTACTCAACATGGGTGAGATTTCAGCTGGGCTACTGTGTCCAGTTCTGGGTGCCACAATTTGAGAAAAATGTGGACAAACTAGACAAAGTCCAGAGGAGAGCAACAAAAAAGAAAAGAAGTTTAGAAAACCTGACCTATTAAGGTTAACAAGTTAACTAAAACTGGGCATGTTTAGTCTTGAGAAAAGAAGACTGGCGGGGGTGGAGGGGCACACTGATAACAGTCTTCAAATATGTTAAGGGCTGTTATAAAGAGGACTGTGCTCATTTGTTCTCGATGTCCACTGAAGATAGAAATCTATCAGGTTAATGTGCAGCAAGGGAGCTTTAGGTTAGATATTAGGAAAAATTTCTTAACTATAAGTAAGGGTAGTTAAGCTCTGAAATAGGCTGCCAAGGAAGGTTGTGGAATCTCTGTTATTTGAGGTTTTTAAGAACAGGTTAGCGAAATACCTGTCATGGATGGTCTAGGTCTACTTGGTCCTGCCTCAGCACAGGGGGCTAGATTAGATGACCTCTCAAGGCCCCCTCCAGCCCTACATTTCAAAGATTCTATAACATGACCCAATTGGCCCTTCCCATCTCTAATTTCCCCTATTCTAAAATCCCTCTTAAAGCACATGCAGTTTCCTTAATAGCCTTTTGCAAGGGACTTTTGAAAAGCCCAGGTAAGTTATAGCAAGTGGTTTTCCCTTACGCACTACTTTGTGGACACACAAAAAATTCTAACAAACTGGAGAGGCAGGATCTTCCTGTACAGAAACCATACTAGTTTTTCCCCATTAAAACACAATTTCCTTCGTGTTTCGTAATTCTACCTTTAATAATTGTTTCAACCAATTCACCTTACCATGAAGTAAGACTCCCTGGTCAGTTATTCCCAGGATATCTTCAGCTCCTTTTATCCAAGGCCAAACGTTTGCTACCCTCCAGCCCTGTGGTTTAATAGTTCACTTTAAGGAGAGATTAGCAGCAGAGTGACCTGTTGCTATTCATATGTTTGGTCCAGAAACTCTTCTTTAGATAGCTGAATATCTGACAGTGCCTCACCTTAATTATCTGAAAAAGCAGATATGTCTTCTGCAGTGAAGATCAATGTAAAGAAATCATTTAGCTTCCCTGGGATCTTCCTTAATTGCTCCATGGTAGTCCAAATCAACCTACCCCTTTTCTTGCATGCTGCCTATGAGTTTTTTTGTTTTTATGTCCTTCTCTCTTGACCTTTTTAATTTCCATCATAGATTTTATTCTCCTTCCAGCTGACTTGGTTTGGGCTGGATTTTCACTTCTAAACTATGTCTGTTTGGCGCACAAAACCTCCCATTGCTATTTGACCATACCATTTTGTTTTCCTGCCTTCTCGCTTCCTTTTGCCTAGGAAGTATGCCACAACTCCTGAGAATCTGCACTGGTATAAAGACATTTATAGTGTGGGAAGACCAGCTCCAATAAACAGACTTCACTTGCTGGAGCCGCCCAGCCTCCCAGCCATGAGAAGCACTTATTTAAATCCACTTTCAAGGGCAATTTAGCATCCCAATGAACTGTGAAGGCTGCATCACTGAATATAATAATAGTGCTTTGCTATACAAATGCTCTTTCCGTTTATGTTGATCTCCCCAAATGTTTATCTATTAACTCAAATGGCTGTACATTGAGCTTGCACCCATTTACTTGCACTCCCCCTCATTCTCTCTTGCTGGAAGTTGCTCCTCTGCTTCCCATCCCTAAACCGATTACAGAGATTGCCTCTTTTGTCACAGCTGCACACATCTGCTCTTTACAATGACACCACTTAACCAGGTACCCCTAGAGACACCATTCCAGCACCCAATGGAGTGATGGCAGCTTTGTGCTAAAATTAGGTAGACACCTTCCAAAAGCTGGTAATAGTTGCGAGCTCTTAAGGACCGGGGTGTCCTCGAGGCCTAGTGACAGCCCTACAGTGACTGGCAGGACAGCTGAAGGAAGTGGTGGTGGTGAAGGATGGTTATGCTCCTTGAGTCAATCCAGAACAAGACTTCTGGCCAATTAATGAATAGTATTGTGGGGCTGTGCAAAGTAAAGGGGTGGGTAAGACTTCAGGGCCTACATGAATCACACCTCTAGCCCCTGAGGAAAGTAAATCAGTATATTCCCACCCTCTAATATACTTCACAACTGCTGCCAAAGTCAACATCTCAACACTTCTATGAGTTTCTGCAGGTAGCCATATTCTCCCCTGTAGGTGATAAACATTTGAGTCAGCTCAGCTGCACTGCAGCTTGTTAACAAGACCTCCTGAGGCACCATTACTCTGCTGTCATCAGAAAGCAACACGCACTGTCACAGCAGAAGGGCCTGGGCTTTGTATTTTCCCCAAAGTGCACATTGTTCCCACATCCTACATCTATCTAAAGCAGCCAAAATGTTTACTAAACACCTCACCTCACATTTTGAGGCTCTTGTTGCAGGTTCCCCCACTCCCTCCTGAAATACAAAGCTGGCTAAAGCGAGAGGTATTGCAGGGACCCCTGGGGATTGCTACTAGAGTTAAAGGAAGAACAGTTATTTCTACTAAGGATTCTGATTTTCAGAAGTTAATTCTGTTATTTAATTTCTATCTGCCTAAAAGTGTCTCTACAGTGGGATGTGGGCGTGAGGAGACAAATTATACATGACTAGGCTTGGCAGAATTCAATGTTTAGTTTTAATTGTTTTGATGGATTATATCAATGAGGTTTTTTTTCAGATTTTTATTGATCTACATATTGAAAACCGCTCCTGATACAGAGATGTGTTAGGCAGTGGACTAATCTACAAAAATGGTCAAAACCCTAGCCTTTGAGTCATTTAAAAGTACACCAGAGAAAGTTCTTGCGATTACTACTGTAAGTGGCCATCCTACAGGCGGGGAAGGGTGGACTGTGTGAGAGTAGGCCTCTCTACAGTGTTATGAATACTTTGCGCAGGGCGGGAGGGGGGGTTGTCAGTCATTTTTCATATCAACCCCTGAAAAGAGTTAAGTGATTTTACAGAGAGCCAGTCTTTATCAGTAGATAAAATTAATCAATATAACATAGTGGCATACATGACCATGTTCTGAAAGATACCTGAATCTGGATCCCAGTCCTGGCCTCTTGCTGGGAGTAATGCAGAGGCATTGCATTCAGCCTATGAGAAGAATGCATTTCAAGTGACTCAGCAGCAACCTCTCCCATTGATTAAAGTGTGGCACTGTTTGGTACCAAAGAGGGAGAGATGGGATCGGGGTGGGGAGGAGAGGAGAGGAGAGAGTGATCTGCTTGACACACCCAGGAAATAGTTCTGGGCTAGTCCTGGATCCTGCTGCAACAGAAACGTGGAATCAGTTTGTGGAATGCAGCTGGTACGAAGGTGGCTGTTTTAACAAGTGGTCTGTAGAAGAGGCTCTTGGAGCCCTCCATTAACATTCCATGCTTTGCTCTTCTCCTGGCAGGATCAAACCCTGTTCAGTAAACAGACTCCAAGAATGAGGAGGCTGAGTGCAAAAGCAAAGCACAAATATAAGATAAACCAGGTAGGAAAACCCAGGTTGGGTTCAGGCAATGAGCAATAATACCCCTGGTCTTTGGATTCTTTTCCCTCTCCTTGTGCTTGGGACAGTCTCCCTCTTCTCACTCAGATCCCTTTCTCAACAGAGGCTTTCAAAACGTCTTTCAAAATGACCTCTGCAAGGTTCCTATCTCAACCTCAGAACAGCACTCCATACCCTCCGTCAAAACGTTGTTCTGCAAATAACCAACCATAGGGCTCACTCTGAGCCAAGAGCTCTCCACGCAGGAGGAGAAATCATTACTCAGGCAGCTTATTTCAGCTTTCCTGCTCCAGAACCAAACACAGGAGAAATACCTTCAACAACTAGCCTGGAAGAGAGATTCTGATTTCAGGTCGGAGGAGACCATACTACCACCCACCTGGTTAAATCAACATCATCCCTTTAACAGAGGGGCCCTCAATAATGTTGACAGAGAGATGGAGCTGCTTATTTAACAGGTGCTACAAGCACATTATAGCTCTTATCTCCTGTAAGTGGACTCTCAATGGACAAACAGGATGTATAGAGAGGGATGGGTACTAAACGTACCTTCCTAACAGCACATTTCCATTTCTGTGAGCTTCCTCATATTACAATGGGACACTAGGAAATGATCTATGAATGCTTTGTCATGGATGGTTTGGGAATTCTCTATGGAAAAATCTCTATGAAAGATCCCAGACAACGTTCTTCCAAATGTACCACTGGCTTCTGTGCTGCCCTCATTGTGACAGATAGCAAACCTGGCAGAAAGGACTCCCTCTTTCAGTGACCTTACCCCATTTAGTCCCCATAGCTCCTCCTCTCACATGTACCTGTTCAGTGCCATGGTAACGGTTGCTCCTTGTTGCATCTCTTGAGATGCTGCCACTGCTGCTTCTGCCAGCGATGCCACCGCCTGCGTGGCCTCCGAAGCCTGCGTCGTCTGGATAGTCATCTCACCCCCCTGTAGCGTTGCCCAGTTCTGCTCCACCTAGTTGGGTGAAGAGAGAAAGAGAAAAGTTCAGCTTCCCTGAACCTTTCCCACAGCTGGGTGGCTACTTCTTAAAAGGAGGAAGTCAAACACTTTCAAGATGTCTTTGAAAAATCCTACATGCTTTGATTCTTCTGTACAAAGCATCCTGAAATCACCTCTGTTGGAAAAAGAGGTCCTTTGGGAGCAATTTAGAAACCGAGCTACAGGGAACATTTTGGAAACCATCCAATCACTTCTCATTCACTATCAAGGTGTTGACTCCCAATCGACCCATGATGCCAGCCTCCATCGCCTACCTGTGAACTTTCAAACATATGCATTCGTGATTTCTCCCGTACTGCCCCTCTAAAGACATAGAAACTACCTCATTACCCTCCAAATCCCTCCTTTGCTGTGATGCCTACAGATGATGTGCCTACTATTTTTAAATTATTTGTATGCCCGAAGTGTCTAGGATCCCTAGTCATGGACCGGGACACCATCGTTCCAGGTGCTATATAAACACAGAACAAAAAATGTGATCTCATTATTTTCTTGTACTTCCTCATTTGTCTGCCCATATCCATCTGTTTTCTCCTGTATTATACTTAGAGTGTAAGCTCTTTGGGACTGTCTTTTTGTTCTGTGTTTACACAGTGCTGAGGACAATGGGGTCTGGTCCAGGACTAGGGATCTTATGAAGAATACAAATAATAAATAATAGTCACATTTGGAAACAGTTCTGTTCATGTCTTTTAATTATTTCAATCTCTCTCTCTCTCTCTTAACTAAGGACATGTACATGCATACAGGTTCTTGTGCTTGCCACCGAGTTCACCTTCTCCTAGCTGATCATTCTCCACCCCACTCTATACTCCTCCAATTGGGACCTCATGTGTATCAATGACTGTGCGGTCACAAACAGGATGTGAGCATCAGGAACAAAAGATCATCGAATCAGAGGATGAAGGTTCTTCAACCTTCAAAGAGCTGTGGACCGTTTTATAAGAGAAAATTCCTCTCACAGACTCATCCCTGGTCCCAACTGCGTAAGTCCCTTTATTGGCTGGTGCTCAAATGTTTCATTCAACGGATCATCAGGAAGGGCACCACAGACCATTGTTACGGTATATGGAAAGAGAAGATATCTACTAGATCGGACCCAATCCATCCCACCGAGGCAAGGTTTTTTCTTCCAGTCTGTAGTATCCTCTTACCCATTGTGCCAGAGGTGAGGGGCTAAAGCAGAGTCTCAGGTCGTTATCTATATACAATATATATGTCAGCAAGCTCTCTAGCCATTGTCAGTTGTCATTTCCCTTGAGGGATCACGTCTGAGCAAGAGTTCAATGAGAGATCTGTAGGACGACGGGGTGGCCACATGGATTAGTCCCAGGAGACGGTTCTATGCACAGAGGGTGGAGTGGAAGAAGGTACAAAGATGATGCGGGGGTGGTGGAGGTGTGGCAGGGAACAAACGGATGATGATGGCTAGCCCTTCTGGTGGAGTAGCGAGAGCTGCTCGATCAGATTCCAAAACAGGCACAGAGAGAAGACCCTGAAGGTGATGCGAAGAAGCTTGAATTTGATGTCGTGGAGAAAGGAAGGTCTGTGGAAGGATTCAAGGTGGCAGGGGAGAAGTGAGGTGTTCAGGCAACAAGGAAGCAAGCGCAAGCTAATTTTAACAGCTGTGTTTTGTGTGGCCCTGCATCACTCATCCTTCCAGTTATCGGGGAAGCCAGAGGAGAAGTGGTTACAGTACCAGGAAGGGAGATGACGGGACAGCTGAAAGTTTAACGTCCTTATACAGAGGCCAAAAAGGGCTGGGTCTTAGAAATGGTGTGGGAGAAGCCGCAGCAAGGTTTGTGCGTCACCCCAAGAGGTGTGGGGCAAGGGAGAGGGAGGAGTCAGAGAGGAGTCCACCCTGGGCGGCAGGGCTGGTGGCCGGGAGGAAGAGTGCATTACCAGCGAAGAAAGGGAGGGAAAACAAAAGTGTTCAGCTCTGGTCACATCAAGCTCAAGTTGATGCTCAGACATATGGAAAGAGAGGTCATAAACCAGGTTGAGGCGAGGGACTGGATGTAGGGAGTTTGGTCAGCAGCGGAGGGTGAGAAGAGTTGTGAGAAGGTGTAAAGATGACAGGATAAGCCAGGAGAGCAGATGAGGGGTGCAGAGAGAGAGAGAGAGAATAAGAACAGGCTAAAGATGGAGCCCTATGAGACCCTAACAGAAAAGGGGAGAGGGAAGAATCACCATCCCCACTGAAGAAACAACTAGAGGATGTGGGAGGAGAAGCAGAAGAGGATGGAGTCACAAAAGCTGAAGGTAGATTTCAAGGAGATGAATGAGCGAGCCAAAAAGCAGCCGTAGTTGAGGAGGATGAGGATGGAGCAGATATTTGGCCAGAAAGACGCCATTAGATATCTGTGTGAGAGAATAGTTTCATGGGAGAGGATCAAGGGTGGAGATGGAGGAACTCGAAGGCAACGGTTGTAGACTGTATTTAAGTTTGAAGGTGAAAGGAAGATGAGGTATAAGTTAGAGAGGCAGATGGCGTCAAGGATTTTTTCTTTTTTAGGCGTGAAGAGACCAGAATAGGCTTGTATTGTGAGGGGAGGAAGCCAGATGACAATTAGAAGAGGAGGGTAAGGATGAGGCAGGAGGAGAGATTAGATGAAAGCAGGCAAGAAACCCGTGTGTTGGTAATGGAGAGGAGGAGCATGTACTGGGGATGAGAGGAAGGTAGCGTTGGGTCTCATCAAACTTCTCTTCGAAAAAGTCAGCAGCATCTTATGTTGGAGGGCACAGGAGAGGGAACAGAAGGCAGCAAATGATCAGCTGCAATTGCTGACCTCTGAGTTAGCAAAGCAGGAAAAAGTAATGAAGCTTGACCAGGAAGAGTGGAGAACCGAAGGAGGAGAGAATAAATCTGTAGTGAAGGAAGCCTGCATGGCAGCGAGACTTTTTACAGGGTATTCATGGGCAGCGGCACAGAAATGGATGAGGCAGATGGTGGGCATTAACACGGGTTGGAAGTTGTTGGAACAGACTTTACTGTGAGTGACAGGTGCAAAGGAGTGGAGGAGTGAGAGACAGTGGAGTGGGGGGATTCAGCTGAGTCAACAAAAGATAGGGGGAAGAGAGAGGGAGAAGCTGAAAGTGGAAGAAGTGTCACTGACATCAGTGGACTGTAGGTCATGGCTGGGCTGCGTGGGAGAGGCAGGAGACAAGTGTGCAGTGTTGAAGGAGATGAAGTGATGGTCCAAGAAAGGGGGAACTTGATGATGAAAAGCTCAGAGCAGAAGCAGTGTGTGGTGAAGAGGTCAAGGGAGTGGCCATTTCGGTGAACTGGAACACTGATCCACGGTGAAGGTTACACAAAGGGGAGAGAGAACGACAAGGGAAGTGGCTACGGATCAGATGGGGGGGCATCAATGCAGAAGCAGAGGTCACCGAAAATGAGGTAGAAGAAATTGCAATGAGAGAGAGCGACAGCCAGGAGTCAAAATGGGAGAGGAAGGAGGATGAGAGGGAGTCAGGAGGATGGTAGAGAAGAAAAAAAGAGGAGACGAGCCAGAGGGATTGTTGGTCTCAGGGAGCATGGTGGCAAGGAGGGAGAGAGAAGCATAATACTCTCACCATTTCCTCTAGGCACACCAAGGGACAAGGTGTGTGCAAGAAGTGAGAAGCGTGCATGAGAAAGTGGCTACAGAGGCAGCGTTGGGAGTGGAGGGGTGTGTGTAATCCAGGTTTCTTTAAGTGCCCAGAGACCAAGCGAGCGAGAGATGAAGAGATTGTGGATGACAGAGATCTTCTTTTTGAGACAGAACAGGAATTCCAGAGAGAAGGAGCAGGGTCAAGGTAGATCACGTTGTCCTGCCTACCAGCCTTGACAAAGAAAAATGCTAATATCTCCAGACACTGATAGTAATTTCCGGAAAGGGAGAAAGGTTTCTGCCACATCAGCCAGGACAGGAATGGAGTGTGAAGTGCTAGCATGGACTGGGAGGGGAACCCCAGGTAAGAACACAGACACTTGGATTACAAGAGGTCAACCACCAAACTACAGTTTGTCTACACGAGAAAAGTTTTACCTGTTTAATAAATCGGTTACAACTTTGTGTTGACAAGGGTAAGATTTTCAAAGACAAGCTTCTAACTCTTACAGAAAGTCAATGAAGTTTGGCATCTAATGGCCATTTGTGCATTTGAAAATCTTCCCCAAGGCCTAAAGATAAAGATAACAAGTCCTAAAAACCCTCTAGTGAATATGAAGTACTTTTCAAGGCCAGAGCCCCAAACAAACAGCTTGCTTCTATTCGTTTTTTCAGCTACAAATGCTCTTTAATACAGAACAAAGCTGTTTTGTGCTGCCACCTATTGACATGAAAACCTTATCCTTACGGAGCAGAATAGGTGGACCACTCCACTCCAACATAAGGATGGTACTTCATCCAGAAACCTAGGCACGTGTCCAAAAGGGAGGACAACAACTTGCAGTGAAACAGCAGTCTCTTTGACTTAAGGGGGAAGGGGAGGGAGTTGGGGGCAGAGGGAACCGAGGAAGGCAATTCCAGTACCTTTCTGAGTTACAGGGATGGTCTTTATACAAAATGCATTTTGTTTCTTGATTTAAGAAAATTATGTAGGTTGTTTGGGGGTTTTTTTGCACTGTAAATTTAAGTGCTTCCTCTTTAAAAGCCTGGGTTTGGCATGATCAAGCCCTCAGTGGGAAATGCAGCTTTGCCAACTTTGAAAAATCGGGTTGACAAATATATAAATGAGTAAAAACGAATGTACTGTACTGTACAGTACTTTCCTTAACATTTATACAACTGTGCATTTATACATTGCCCTTTATCAGAGGAAAGTGCAAGCCAATTACACATTAAGTCAGTCTCAATAACCCTTGGAGGTGCTGCAGAGAAATGTTCCCATTGTACCCATAGGGAAATTGAGGCAAAGAGAAGTTAAGTGGCTTGCCCAAGACCACACTGCATTCTGTTCCTGGCTCTGACTCGGAAAGTCCTAAACCTTAATCCCCCTGCCGTAACCACATGACTGGTGCTCTCGGCTCAAGGGTTATCCAGACAAGCACATGAATGAGTGTGTCTGGAGAGCTGCATACAGAATACATACATCTGCTATTATTCCAATGGACACTATGACTGAGATTTACATGTACAAAACTTAGGAAATTCAGCCCTTATGGTCTCCTAGTAATTGTGCGTGCACACCCCCCCCCCCAAGTCCCAATTACCACAACACTACACTTTTTGACTTTGACCCATGCAAAATATCCACGACAATGTTGCATTGATATTGATTTCAGCTTTTAACATGACAGCGTGCAGCACTAGGCTTTTGCATTCCCAGTAAACACTTAAGTGTGAAAAATGCAAGTGTGTCAGCAATGTCCATTAGCTACACACGACCACAGGGTGTGCTGCATCCTTGAGAAACAAACACAACCCACACATCCTTACCTCTCCATCGGTTACCGCGGAGTAATTGACTTGTGCAACGGTAACTGTGGTAGGCAACTCGGAGGCATCGGCCAGAGTGGCGACTGTAGCCCCTGTACCAACCTGCAAAATACCGCCACAAAACAGCAGTCAGACTGCAGCTCCTGCTGCCATTGTTCCCCTCAGGAGCCCACGGTTACCCCTCAGCTAAAGGGGCACCCAAGTACATTAGACCCCAGATCACCTAAAGGGAAAACTGAAGGACAGAGTGTCCCGCACTGATCACTATCAATGCCCAGCACTTACCATACATAGGGCTATTGCTCTTCAAAGCGTTTTACAAACATGAATTCATCCTTAGCAGCCCTGTAAGGTCTATCCCCATTTAACAGATGGGAAAACAGAGGCAAAGAGGTTTATAGCCTGCTTCTAAGAAGCACTGAGCACTCAAACCCCCAAAGAGATGAATGGGAGCGTGGGTGCTCAGCATCTTGAAAAGGAGGCCATAAGTGAGCAGTGAAAGCCAAAGAGAGAGTCTGCAGCAGCAAGCTGGGCCAACTCGCCGCAGCTCAGAGAGCAAATCTTTCTGTGTGGGGGGGGGCATAACCCTGTAGAGCAGATGCAGCCTACAGTGACAGAAGTGGGTTTTCCTGTCACTGTAGGAACACCATCTCCCCAGGTGATGGTAGCTAGATCAACGGAAGCATTCTTCTGTTGACCTAAACTGCATCTACACCAGAGGTTAGGATGGCATAGCTACAGCACTCAGGGGTGTGGATTTTTCACACCCTTGACAGCCGCAGCTATGCCAACCTAAGTTTTAGGTGCAGACCAAGCCTAAGCTTTCATTTAAAAATACTCCAATCCCTAGTCCTAACAGCTGTGAGCATAGCCATCAAAACATGAAACAAGCGTCAACTAATGCAGTGATGTGTACCTGCAGACAGCTTGAAACAACAGCACTGAGAGGTGTTTGCAGCCCCATTCCTTTTAATGGGTGTTAACCTTGATAGCTAATAAGACTATAAATGTCAACACTTAACTATTGCAACTGTTGATAAAAGCACACATGGAAACAAGAGGGATGAGTCAGCTGAGGTCAGTTGTGTGTGTTTTGCTTTAAGACTCTTATATAATAAAGACATGCACAATTTACTGTAAATGGCATCTTGTTTCAACATCTCAAGTGGGTGGAGTTGGTTTAAGCATGGGTGGTGGGTACCACTACTTCAAGTACTATGAACACTGCCTAAACTCCTAAAGTATTGTGCAGAAAATCCAGTCTTGTTTTTGTTGCAGGGGTCAGATAGCCGTATGTGCAATGATACTCCGGAAAAGTTGTTTGTTGGAGAGGAGATATGTGTAATACAATATCTGGAGTCAGCATGAAGGAAGCAGTCTATGCCTCAGTTCCCTCTCTGTAAAATGGACATAACCAGGGTATTATACGGATGAATGTATTGCTCTTTCCATTGTGAGGTTAACTCACATACGATGGTAATGGAGGCCACATAAGTACCTAAGAGAGACAGACTTGAGATTCCTGAAACATACAGGTTAAGCCAACAACCAAAGGTGTATAGTTAAAAACTTCTGCCAGACATGGCCACTCAATACAGTGTGTGTGAAGGGACAAGTGGGCTCTGCTCACCTGGATAAGGGAGACAGTGCCATCAGGGTTACTGAAGGTCTGTACCACCGTCTGTGATGGGACCAGATGCGCTATACTATGCGTAGCTGCGGTCTGCTGCTGTGTCTGTTGATCCTCAAAGGCATAGAGTAGGTCTTCACGCCCATGCTGTTTGTAGCAGTTCTTCACAATAGTCCGCAATGCCTGGGTCCAGGACACCTAACAGGGAAAAAGAAAACAGTAACATTAAAAGAACAGTGCAAAGCAGCATTTCCATTCAGCAATTCCCTCTGCATTCATTCTCCTGGGATCTGAACCATGTAAATCTTTAGTTGGCTTTTTTCAGGGCTATTTTTTAATCAGTATTTTTTTTCAAAATAAAAACAAAATCCTCCCAGAAAACACCCAGCCCCCTCCATACCTCCAAGCCCCACGGTTCATGAGCCACCCTACAGAAGCAAGCCAGCATGTGTACAGCCTGCATCCACGTGCCATTTACAGAACAAGTCTGTATGACCATGGGATGGAGGAAATCTCTCTAGTGAAATGGGTCTGTTTCAAACTGTCAGGGAGTTTAACTAGGAGTGAAAAAAACAAAACCTTTAAAAAAAGATGATCAAGCAAAGGGTGGACTCTGATACCATAAACCCTGGCTCAACCAGGCCGCCCCCAGCAAGGGACAGCTGCAATCTGTGCAAGGATTTGATCCTGAGATTCACAACATTTGTAATGTCCCTTTGTGATGGTTGGGTAGACAGGTATCTCCCACTCCTCTTTAGCTCCCTGCAACATCCTGACATAGTTGACATGTGTCCCTTTTTCTGTCTGCACTCTCTCATCCTTTTCACATTTCCTCTTTCTCCCCACTCACCCCTGACTACCCCACCATCCCTGATCTCTCACTTAAAGGAAGGGCACACACTGCTCTGCTTGGTGAGGTGGGGTGACAACCTCTGGTTGCTCTCTGTGGGCCTGGGATGTGTGCTGTCTAGCAGCTGAACTGTGTGTTTGGGAGAACAGAGACACAGCTTTGGCCAGCAAGCCACTTCTTAAGCTTGTATTCATGAGCTGCTACTGTGGCCAGATGGATTAGGAATTGCCCCCAACTCCAGAGGTGGGTAAGGAGAATAGAGGTAAGGTTAAAAATACCAGAGTGCAAATTAGCAATAGGGAGTCAGAGTGGATCCAGGATTACGCCTCTTTCACCACCTTCACTGCTCTCCTCTGCCCGTTGCACCCCTTGGATTAAGCTGGGGGTCAACCCTCCAGGGTGGGAACAAAGGGGCAGATGAATGGTTGTCATGTGGAACTGGGGGACATCCAGCCAAGATATGGAAATGGGGAGGAAGAGCTATCCCATATGATTTGGGCACAAACTTTTAAACATGGCATGGAACCAGGGAAGTTTATGACCTACCTGTTCTTTCCGTCACACAAGAGGGAGGCTCATAACATCACAACCCACTCCCAAACTCCAGTGACTGCCCTGAAGGGTTAGTAACAATACAACACACACCCTCTGTTTCTGTTCCTCTGTACGGACGTCACTGCGAACATTTGCCCATGGAATATCCTCAGGCCACCAAATGGGTTTGCAGCTTTCCTTCCCCCAGCCCGGCTTCCCACGACCTGTTGAGTACTTCAGCATTTCGGGGATGAATGCTCGCAGCTGTGCCTGAAACCAACAGCACAAGAGGGTTAAAACTGGAAATCCCACTTTCTTTGGGGGGTTTAAAGTTAGTTTTATAAATTACTAGACTGGGTTTCCACCTGGAAATGATCAGACTAAAACTACTCACTGGAACAGCCCTGAGCACACCTGAAAACATGTGATGAATCCCTCTTCACCTCATCCCCAGTCAGAGTTGAAAAACAGAACACTGTTAGGTCGTGGGATAGCGACAGACATAAGTCAGCCAATTAGAATAATAAAAGTAACACACCCTATATTACTGCAACGTTAAGGTTCATATACTACAGTGATGAGAACCAGCCAGCCCAGTTAAAATCCGCGAGGAAATGCAAAGCTAATGCTCTAACAGCAACTTGAATGTAGCTGTTCTGCATATCTTGTATGGTATACATTGTACAGGGGTGTCACAAAGACAGCAGGGATTCAACAAGCCCTGCTATCAAATACCACCCATAGGAGAAGTCACAGCAGGAACAGGAGGCATTCCCCCATTGCTAGAACTGCTGGACAGCCTGTATAAGAAGGTTCTTTTTTTCATGCTCCATCTGAAAAAAAATAATCATCTCTGAATGATTTTCCATAAGAAAAAATCTTTTGTCAAAGAAAGAGAGGAGGAGATGCGTCAGGCTGATGTTTTCGAGAACATTATGGGAAAGGGTAAAGAGTGGGATGATGATGTTTCAGCTGAGACAAAAGCATTACTACCACGAGAAAATATTTTGAGAGATTTGCAGACCAGAAAACACCACAAAGACATATTAACAAGAACATGGCTTACTACTAGCATTATCATGAATTCTGCACATCAAGCAGTATGTTTTTAGATCATATTAATTATTATTATGTATATTACCACCGTAGGACCTAGACCCCATTGTGCAGGGTGCTGTACAAACACAGAACAAAAAGACAGTCCCTACCCCAGAGAGCTTGCAATTTAAGTAATGCTGATCACTGTGACACTCAAGTGTCAGATGTTTCTCAGAGAAACAGGCTAATTTAAGACTAGAACATTCTTCCTCCCTCTTCCCCTCACCCCACATAACCTTGGGTGACTCTGGTAGCAAACCATTTGAACTTCGCTCTCACGGTTGCCACCAGAATTCCTGGAGGCAACTAGTCTTGTATTACCTGGGGGCTGATGATCCTGCAGCACCAGCCCCAAGAGTCTGCAGTACTAGGAAGCTCAGGGAAGAGGAATCGTTTGCTGCTGGTTACAGTCATGACAAGAATTCCAATTAGCAACAGAGACATTGTTTACCCCACTAGACAACTATCAAGTAGTTCCAATTCTCTGTCACAAGAGCATGGGCCTCTTCCAAATGCGCTGCTGCCTGCATGACCTCAGACACACCAGTCTATGTATTAGGCACCTCAGCATCAAACTGCAAGCTAACAGAAGGGAACATGTTTGCAAGTCAGCTGACCTGTAAGTTCCCTTTTCAGGGTATTTTAGGCAACTGCATCTCAAAGTCGCTTGTAACTGCATCCTAAACCCTTCAAACATCATCCTGCACCAACACCAGAGAGAGGGGAGTACTTCAGAATGACAGGACAGTGTGAAAGGAAGGTGACTTACCTTACTGTAATGGAGTTCTTCGAGATGTACGCTCCCTATGAGCATTCACTGTGGGTATGCATGCACTCCAAGGACCTGAGACCAGAAGATTATTCTCTAACAGCGTCTGTTGAGCCGTGCCTGCACCCTGAACCTCCTCATACTCCGAAGCAAAGGCATACGGGATGGCGGGGACAGACTGCCTCTCCAGTTCCAACTCTACCGCAAATCAACTCAGAAGGATCCGAAGCACAGGGGAAGGAGGGGGGTCATGGAGTACCCATGGGGACCACACATCTTGAAGAACTTCAGTCACCATAAGGTAAGTAACATTCCTTTCTTCGAGTGCTTGTCCTCACAAGTATTCACCATGGGTGATTCACAAGAAGTGCTCATGGAGAAGGAAGGTGCAAGGGACCCATGCTGCACCACGGGTCCCAGGACCACTGTGCCAAAGGATGCATCTGCTGAAGAAGCCTGGGCGTAGTGCCTAGTAAAGGTGTGCAAAGAGCCCCATTGTCACCACTCTACAGATTTGTACCAGAGGTATGCCTTGAAGAGAAACTACAGAGGCAGCATGTGCTCTAGTCGAGTGTGCCCTCACGCCCTGAGGAGGAGTTTCCATCAGTTCATAACATAGCAGAATGCAGCCTGAAATCCATTTTGAGAGCCTGTGTGATCAAATTGCCTCCCCTTTCATCTGCTCATTGAAGGAGATGAATTGTTTCTGGGATTTTTGAAAGGGCTTCGTCCTCTGCAGGTAGAAAGCCAAAGCTCTATGAACATCCAGAGAATGAAGTGTCCTGTCCTCCTTGGTGGCATGAGATTTTGGGTAGAATACCGGTATAGGGATAGACAGATTAAGGTGGAATTCAGAGGGAACTTTTCGGATGGGTTTGGGATGTAACCTTAGGGACATTTTATGCTTATGGAATACTGTGTAGGGAAGGCCTACATAAGAGCTGCAAACTTCCCTACTCTCCTAGTGGAAGTGATTGCCATTAGAAAGGCTACTGTGATGGATCGATGGAGAAGGATGCAGGATGCCAAGAACTTAAGTGGCGGATTCATAAATGCTGACAGCACTAAATTAAAGGTCCCAATTAGGAGTTGGCACCAATACTGGAGGAAAGGTTCTGACAAGACCTCTCAGAAATTTCACATTTGTAGGATGGGTGAATATTCAGCAGTTGCCTATGAGAGGATGGAAAGAGTTGGCTGTTGTGTGTGTACCTGGCAGCAATTTAATGGACAAACCTGAAGACTTTAGGAAGAGATTGTCCAAGATGATAGGAATGTAAGAGTCCAATGGAGGTATCTGGCAGCGTTAGCACCAGATGGAGAACCTCTTTCATTTGGCAGCACAGAATTTTCTTGCGGAAGCCTTTCTGCTGTTGCTGAGGATGAACCGGACTTCCTTGGAGCACGACCTCTCTCATTGCCCATCCAAATACCAGGTTGTGAGGTGGAGAAAAGCTGGGCTGGGATAGACAGTTTTGCTTTTGTCTCAAGTCAGAAGGTTTGGCAACTATTTTAAGTGGATACATGGGTGTGTGGACATCTGGAGGATTCTCATGAACCAAAACTGTCTCACTCACCAAGGAGCCAATATGATCCACTGCCCATTTGTCCTGCTTTACCTTGTTCAGGACTCGTGGTTAGAGTGGGATGGATGGGAAAGTATACCTTAATGGCACTGACCACGTAACGAGAAATGCGTCTCCTCTGGAATTGTGCCCTTGAGCAGCAACGGAGTCACAAGCTGGACACTTCTTGTTTACCTGGGGTACAAAGAGGTCCCTGCCTAGAGAGTCCTGCTGCTGGAAGATGTTCTGTACCACTGAGTTTTGCTGTTTCCACTTGTGGCATCTGTGGAAGTGACTACCGAGGCTGTTTACTAAGGTGTTCATTATTCCAGGAAGGAGCACCGTTGAAAGGGAGATATGATGTCAGATACTCCAATTCTGGAGCTTGACTGCCTTTATGTAAAGAGGGGCGGATCCTGCTCCTCCCTACTTCTTTATGTAGAACACCATCGTCATGATGTTCAACGTGACTGGAACGTGATGGAAATGTATGCATGGCGGAAACCTTTGCAAGTCTTGTGCACGCTCAAAATTCAAGCAGATTGCTACTTGGTTGTCCAGGTATATTCTCCAACCCAGTAATGAAGGGTCCATAAGTAGCTTCTTTGTGGGTGGAAGGGGAAGGAAGGGAACCCCTACACACAGATATCTTGTTTTCTCATGAGGCAAGAGAAGACAGAAAGCTCTGAGGGAACGTGATACACTTGTCTGTTCAGAGCTTAAACCATGTGTAGTCACACCTGAAGGCGATGACTATGGAGCCTTGTGAAGGATGTTACATAGGTGCAGGCGGCCCTGTGGCCTAGAAGAACCAGAGAGGAGCAAGCTGTCAGCTGGGGGCTCAGTTGGAGTTGGGCAAGGTGGTCCCTGTTCTGATGTAAGTAAGTTTTGACTGAAGTTGAGTCCATAGTCACTTCAATATATTCTATAATCTGCTTTGGGGTTAAAGCGGACTTTTCTGGGCTCACATGAAGCCCTAAGGATTGTGCAAGACTGAGTACGAGCATCCTGTCAATTGAACTCCCTAAGATGGCCATCCCATGAGCAACAAGTTGTCAAGGTAGGTGGATGTTGGGTTGCAATGCAGGTCCATCACTGCCACTAAGAGCATCTTTGTGAGTGTTCTCAGGGCTGTCGAGAGACCAAAAGGACGGACTCTGCACTGGTAATGATCTAGGCCCACACCAAGGTTAGAAACCGCCTGTGAGCCAGGTGAACACCTAATGAAAACAGGCATCCTTTTAAATCAGGAACTGCAAACCAGTCACTTTTGTTGAGGGATGGGATTACAGAAGCCAAGATGGTCATCTTGAATCTCCAACAACCGAAGGAGACATTCAGTTGCCTGAGATCCAGGATGGGTCTCCATCCACCCTTCTTGGGAATGAGGAAGTATCTCAAACAGAAACCCTTCCCCCTGCAATGAGGAACTGGCTCTCCAGCTTAAGCTGAAGAAGCGAGTCTCTCCCTCCTGTCTGAGAAGCCTCTTGTGAGAGGCATCCGTGAAGAGGAATGTGAGAAGGGTTGGTGTAGGAATGGAAAGAAATTCTATTGTGTACATGATCTCCGAGACCTAAATTTCTGAAGTAATATGTTGCCGGGTTGGGAAGGAATAGAACAGGTGGCCACCAAAGTGAGTGGGGGGTGTCTGGCTGCGTGGAGATTGGTTGGCGGCTCTCAAATGTCCTGTTGAAACGGCTTCTTGGCAGGGGATGTGGATGAGGAGGAACCGATGGCAGGGCTTTCTGCCTGCTGTGCTGTAACCTCCGGAGTCTCCTGGGCAATGTTCCCTCTAATTTTTGACAGGCCGTGTGCGCAAAAAATTTCTTCTGTGCAAA